GCGTGGTTGCGGATCGAGTTGGAGGCCAAGAACAACACCGACTTGCGACGGCTGTGCGCTATGTTGGGGCTGCCGCAGAGGCGCGACGGCGGAACCCTTCGGAAGGAGCAGCTGCTGGAATCCATAGTGGACGGCTTCTCATCGCAGGAGGGATGGAGTAAGGGGATGGGCGTAGAGCGGTGTTGAACTTTGCACACAAGCTGTTTGTGTTGAAGTAGGTGTTGGCTAGACTCGATAGTGGAAAGCTGCGCTTTGCAGGAAGGGTTGTATTCGGGGATGGGTGTCTGCTTTTGGTCTCCATGCAAAGTCCCTGACAGGAACCGGGACATCCGAACGCTCAGGACGGTTTTGTGATTTGCAGCTGTATAGTTCAACTTAGTTGAGATTCTGTTTTCTTGCGGTCCAATAGGTGTCTGCTTCTGATATCCCTGCAAGTTGAATGATATCCAAGTTGAATGATACCCAAGTTGAATGTATCTGCGCAAGCGTCACGGCGGAGGAACCGGTGACGGCGGAGTCACTGCGACGCTTGGCGCAGGAGCTGGGAGACCAAGCACCACCGACCCTCCGAGGTCGTCTGAGGGGTGTGCGTCTGAGGAACGCGGAGCCGTCCTTGGTGGATATAGCTTCGGAGTTGGGCCTACCTTGCGAGCATATGCATCGGAACAGGCTGGTGGATAGCATCGTTCTGCCGCTCTGTCCGCTGCGAGCACCCGGGGCGGAAGATGATGTGAGGTATCACTTTTGGCGCTGGCTCGCAGATTGCCGGACCGTTCCTGCAGCAGACCTCGTAGCAAAGGCATCTGTCAGTTTTCCTGCGACACAGCTACGGCGATGTATGCTGAGTCTTTGCGAAGATGTTCCGTTGGAAAGTATTGAGAGGAGGCATGGAAGCGCGGCTGCGGAGCTGGAGCAATTGAGCCAGGCCACCGTTGCCATCTTGCAACACCTTTCTGCTTTGAATGTTCAGTTTCCAGCTGAAGTGCCAGAGACTTGGACCACTGCGATGGAACAACTGCAAAGCATCAGATGGCCAGACCGTTTGTCTGGATTGCAGTGCAGTAGTTTGCTGGCTGTGTTGTTGGAGAATCGGCCGCTACAGCGCAGAGGCCGGGCGCGTGTGGACCGGAATTGTGTTGTGGGGTCTGATGTTTGTTTGGCTTTTGTTCGGTCGCAAACATATAGACTGTCTCCATCGAAAATATCTTGGACGCAAGGTTGGTGGCAGTTGGTGGATTGCTGGGATCGCGCAGATCCAGTGGATGTAGCAGAGCGACTGTGGAGCCTGGGCACATGTCATCAAGCTGGACCAGCAGTGGAGCCAGACAGTGGCTTCCAGGATCGAGAAGATGTTTTGGAGGTGGGTCGGCAGAAAGCGTGGGACTTTTGCAAGGTTTCTGTGGACGTTTGGTTCGGAGACACAGTTTCTGCTTTGATTGGTTGTTCGTTCGCCTGTTTTTTTCCCGTGTCTCTCTGCGCAGGCGGTCTTGGGCACACTGAAGCACAAGCGCAAGAGTCGTGGATATGATGAGGCAGACAAACTCTTGTTGCGCACTTTGATGCGGCGCTATGGCTGGGAAAGACATCTGGACGAGAGCACAGCGTGCACGTGGATGGAAACCTTTGAAGCAGTCAAGAAGGCAGAGGATTGGTCTCGTTTTGCTTGGTTTCTGGTCGCGCACTTGTTGCACCCTGCTTGTCGTGAGAGTTTGCGTGCGTGGCACAATCCGGTGACCGTTTTGGAGTCGAGATTAGACCGCAGTGGTATTGCCCAGGAGGTGGTTACTTTGCACGATGACTTGTTGGCCTGGCAAGATCTCCACGGGTGTTCTTCGTTGCCCGAGAAGAAGCAGCATGCAGACTTGGCGAAGAGGGTGGGCAAGTATTTCAACAGCAGGGAGGCGCGTGTGAGGACCCTCCAGAAAGCTTATCCTGCAGACTTTGCGCCGCTGCCTGGTTACAGAGTTGAGTGTTTGTCCTTGGAAGGCGATTCCCTGCGTGGTGTACTCTGGCGGTCTGCAGCTGAACGTGCTCTGATGTTTTCGATCCCTGGATGGAGAGAAGAGGGCAAGGGCAAGGAGGAGTTTCATCCCTTGCAGGATTTCTGTAAGCATTGGTTGCCAGAAGCAGACGAGATGGAGTGTCTTGATTTGTTGACGAACACACAGCGCCCTGTCACGTGGAAGCTCGAGCAAGTCGCGAGACGATTGGACTGTTCACCCACGGTATCTGGTGTGCAAGAAGCCTTAGCCAAGCGCTTACTGCGATCTTTCCCTGAGGATGCAGGTGAATGCCTACAGAAATTCTGCTGTAGATTGTGTCCAACCGACTGCGCAGATGCAAAGTCCTTCAAAGAGCACGTCGCACAGGAGCACGCTGGCGTCGGGCTGCAAGATACTCCCCGGATGCTGATTGAGTATCGCAAGAAGATTCTCGCTCTTGTTGAGCACGCAGGACCTCTTGTGTCTCGGTCGATGTCTTGGACGTATTTGGGTGTTTCACTTTGTAACTTCTTCCGGACAAGTCCTGTGTGGACGCCGTTCTGCGGAAGCGCAACAAGTACTAGACATAACAATCTTTTCGGTGCACAAAGGCCAGTCGCGAGCTGAAAAGCGAGAGTAGGCCGGTTTTTCTGTGAGACAGTCAAGTAGTCAATGACAAGCATAGGGCATAGTGGTTGGTGAACTACATCTCAGAAAAGCAGTATCCTAGAGTGAAGGAAACGTTATCGCTGCTCGCATATCGATTGTCGCGTCGCCTTTGACAAACTTGTTATATGTTATGAACACAAAACTGCTTCTTGCCATGTCAGGTGGGTGATTTATATGTCATAGGGTTGTATGGGAGGTGTTTTGTTGTTTATGGCATTTTATGTGTGATACATATTTGGTGTGTCCGAACGTGGATGATCGCTGAGGTACCAGGTATGAGCAGACAGAGGACAATAGCTGCCAACTTTGATGAGCGCTTGCGTTGCCCTGCAGGCACGAGTGAGGAGGGCCGAGTGGAAGCTGCCTGTGTGGTGTGTGCTCGACGTTTTTGGGCGCATGAGTTGAACAAGGTGCTACTCTTCACCGATCCTGCCCAAGCAGAAGGGCTACCACGGCTCCCGGATGGAGTGGATGCAGCAGTCCGTCCATCCCAGCAGCATCGACTCTGCCGCCTGCTGGGAGTTCCACGCTATGCTGAGCGCTGGCCGCACATTGCTTTGGAGGAGTTGCAGAAGTCTGCCGTTGAACATCCTTTCCTCCCAGGTGAATATGTGCTCTTGCACCGGCGGCGCATGCCGGAAGACGCACGACAGCCGTCCCCTGTTTGCCGGGACTGCCGCACCAGCCTGACAGCCCAGATTCTGACCTTGCCGCGCCACGCCCTGGCGAATGACCTGTGGCTTGGCAGAGCCTTGCCAGAGCTTCGTTCCCTCTCCGCGGGGACGAAGCGGCTCTTGCCCCTGGTGCGTGTGTGCATGCAGGTCACCGTCCTGCAGCCGGTGGTGCTTCCCCACGCCGAACGGCAGAAGGGCTTCATCGGGAACACCATCTTTTTGCCGCAAGCCAGTCCTTCCTCAGTCGAAGCAGTGTTGCCACCCCGCGCAGAGGACATGGCCGAGCACATCTTGTTCGTCTTGGTGGGCCACAACAGAGGCGACCTGCGATCGTCGGCCACGATGCAGGCACCTCGAGAGGAATACGTTGCCGCTGTGGAGCGCCTCCGACAAACTTCCAAGTACTACGCGGAGGCAGCGGTCGATCTCAGTCGATGGTCTGGCCAGGAGGAGACTATGTTTGAAGGCTGTGTCCTTGAGACGGACGCAGACAGCTATTTGGCGAGAGAGCTCTTACAACGGGGACCGGCGGACGCTCAAGGCCAAGAGAGCAGCCAGCAGGAGGAGGACGACGCTGGCATGGCGGAGGACACTGCAGAGTCCGGCGAGCGAGCACACGAAGACTCAGGACAGTTGCGTTTGGTCTGTGGGTTGGTAGATCGTCGTCTCACATTTGAAACTACTGATTCTATATAGACATATACAGATAGTGATCTCTCGTTGCTTGGCTAACTTCTTGGCACACTCCTGCTTGGTCAGGTCATCTGATTTCCAGCATTGTCGGCCTGAATGACACCTCGGACGATGAGAATCGTTGGTTGCGGGTTTGCCGAGATGTGGAGGATCTGTGTCGTCGAAAGCCTCGACAGTATGACACTGATGCAGAGCTGGTCGTGCGCAATCGGGCCAACAATGACCTGGGTGTGGATGCTGCGCAGATGGAAGGAGCAAATCTACTGGGTCGAGAAGGTGCGCACGAACGTGGAGTCCTTCGTCGCATCCGGCAGGTCCAGACTGTGGCCGCGCATGGGGTGGAGACAGAGCGACAAGCGCAAGGGCAAATGTTTGAGGTCAGGCCACAGAAGTTGGTGGTGCCTTCTCGAGATACCCCTCTGAGCATGTTTGAGCCAGGGACCTGGGCAATGGCTTTTCCTACGTTGTTCCCTTGGGGTGACGGGGTGCCTTTCTTGAAGAGAGAGACGAGCATGGAAGCTTCTGAAGTGTTTCGTTATTTACTCCTACGCGAAGAGCTCCAGTACAGCGGTGATGCAGGTGTTGAAGATGAGGTCCCTGCACTACCTCGATGGAGTTTGTCGGCCGCTCGGGACGACGAGTGGTTGCGTCGCGGTGACCGTAGGAATGGACATCTTTTTTTGGGACCAGATTTTTGGTTAATGTCTTTTGTGGCTGAGTTGTTTGTTGGTTCGGACATTGTATAGTTTTGGGGTCTTTGGCAGTTACTATCGTTTAGGAATAGATATTTATAAATTCTTTTGATCGCACCGACGCGTCGCTCACCCAAGGAGCAGTTGCTCCCGACGATGTATGATGTCCAACGTCGTTTGACGTTGATGCGGACCTCCAAGGCCTATGTCAAGAGGAGTGGCTTCGGCCGCCACTGCTCGGTTATAGCCTCCGTGACCTCCGAGCACCTCCTGAAGGCTATGGCGCTGCACGGGGAGAAAGCGGACATCCGCGAGTTGCTCCGCTCCCCGGACGTGGACGTGCCGCTCAAGCGCGCACTGGGTAGTGTCCTGCAGGCCAGTTCCAACGTTTTGGGCACAGAAGGTCACCGATCTCAGATCCGTCTGCGAGGCCACGCAGCTGGGTGGCATTACGGCCCAAGTCACATTTTTGTGACACCGAACTTGGCGGACTCGCGAGCTTCTCTGCTTTTGCAATTGCATCTGCAGGGGGGCTCGCGAGTCGAGGCCTATGAGGTCGACCTGGCCTGGGACCTCGAGGCACCAGCGCTGCCCTCGCTGAGCGCAATGCGTCGCATTCTAGCTGCCGACCCAGTCTCTCAAGCAAGGTTTTTTGACGTGATGATGACCTTGTTCTTTGAGGAGATATTGAGCACGTTGCCGCCGCTTACACGCGCCAGCTTCCGAGGCGGTCTTGCCAGGGACTTCGAAGATGGTTTTGCTGCTTCCACTCATGCTGGTTGCTTTGGAGATGTGGCAGCCTTTTGTGGCCCTCTTGAGACGCAAGGACGCGGTTCCATGCACCCACATATTCTGGTTGTGCTTTTGGGGCACGACTTGGGCAATCGCCTTCGCTCTGTTTTGGCCACCGCAGCGCGTGGAGAACTGGTCATTGAGTTGGAACGCTGGAGTCGCGCCGTCCTACAAGCAGCCAGCCGTATTCGCTACGACAGCCAGCAAGCTCTCAGTCAGCAGTTGGAACAAGAAGTCTGTCCACTACCGCTGAGCGAAAATCAGCGTGCTGCGTGTGGGAGGCAATACAGCGACGTGCCACTGAGGTCAACGGAGCCAGACGGCCACGAAGCGGCGACGGAGTCCAGTACACCTCTCCGACTGACCGGATGCTTCGCTTCACTACGTCCACATTATGTCAGGGCGAGCAAGGCCGCTGCTTTCAACGCGGCCAGTTGGTCGGGCGCCCTCTGTCGCGACTATCGTCGGCTGGTCATACAGAATCACTTCCACAAGTGCACGAAGTCTTGTTTCAAGAAGACCCTCGGCGGGTACAGATTTTTTTTTTGTGATACACCTCGGACACTTTGTTCAGATGTCGCCGTTTTCGTTTCACGACATCAGCATTGTAGCCTGGACGTGGTTATGCGGATCCGATGTCATTAGTATTAGTTCAGTGTCGGACAGGGATAATAGTTGTGTGTTTGATTTGCTCCGCCCACCGAGCACGTTATCTGCACCGGTCACCGAGCATGTTGACACGGCCATGCAACGTTGACTCAGGAACGCTGCGAAAGGCAAGCGGGGATGTCGATTTGGCTGCTTCCACGTCGAACTACACAAAGAAACGGAAGACTCTGGACTGGAGAAGGTGCGCGCGCGTTGTTTGAAGGGATGGCCTCGAGTTCAGCGTGCGCAGTTTATGATTCTACCACGTGAAAATGTTCCATTGGAGGAAGAGGAGGCCATGAAGAATGAGAACCCCCATGTCTTTCAACCTCAACGGGACCATCCCTTCGAAGGCATGTCGAATCCCATAGCTCAAGTCAGCATGCGGTGCAACGTCGACGTGAAATACTTGGGACGTGGTTTTTGCGATGCCGATTTGCAGAAATTGGCTGCCAATGAACAGGATGGAGACGGACAGGGCGGAGACGCACAGCCACCAGACGGGGAGCGCAAAAAGAAGGACAAGAGCTTGGACGCGCGGTTGCACAGAGTTGTTGTGGATATGTTTCGGGACATGCAGGATGTGCAATTTTATACTGGGGAGTACGCGAGCAAGAAGTTCGAAGTGTCTCGATCTCTGCTGCCGGAACTCTTTGCCGGCGTTCAGCGTCTTGAAGCTGAAGAGGCACAGCGTCAGGCAGCTGTGTCAGATGCAGGACGTTAGTTGACTGTTGGATTGTTTTGTCCCTTGGCAACACAGTTCCAAGGAAAAAGTAGAAGTTGTCTAAGGGAATTTACCGCCGTGCTTTTTTGGGGGTCTAGGAACATCAATACCGGCGGTCAGGAGACATGCCGAGCGGCCATGACGCCGCAGTGGCGGAGGCGGCACCGGTGCCCGAGGCTGCGCCGTTGCCTGCAGAAGTGGCCAGGCTTGCTTTTGGCATGCAGAGATGTGTTGCGAAGTCCAATGGGGAGATGGCCTACCAACTTTTGTTTCAGCAGGAGCAACTGGTCAGCTACAGTGGCTACAACATGTTCTTTCGGTTTGTGCCCTATGCCATGTTTCGTTGTCGCGCAGTGGCCTTGGACGCAGCCGCCGCCAGCGCGCCTCATTTGAAAGTTCTGCCCCTGGAGCCTGTGGAGGCTGAAGAGATTGACGCAATCCCTGTGCAAGAGGTTGCTGAGGTATTCGACGAGGAAGATTTGACGGAAAGTGGGATCCCGACAGGTGGCACGAGGGTTGTGTCGCACAATCAGAAGGATGATTACTTGCATCGTGGTGCTTCAGCCGTTATGACGTCTATGTCTTTGGTTATGTATTCTCGTTATGTGCGACGAGTTCCTCGTAGCCAAGCTGGTCGCGTTGATTACGTCAAATTTTTTCCCTTTGATGAACACTATGCACATTTCCAATTGTCAGTGCAGGACTGTTGCTTCTGTCTTTTTCTTTTTTGGGTTGCTGAATGTTGCTGACGTGTTTTGTTGTTTCATGTTCAAAAACTGCGTTGATTGTGTTTCATGTTCAAAAACTGTGTTGATGGCGTGAAAATATTCCCTTTTCCCTTTGACGAACACTACGCACATTGTCCCTTGTCAGTGCAGGATTGTTGCTTCTGTTTTTTTCCTTGTTCGTTGCTGACGCGTTTAGGTGCTTCATTATTGACAAACATAATTCATATATAGTTGGGCTGTGGTCGCTTTCCTGTGGATCTATTTCTGCGCACGGATCCATCGCTCGGACATCTGCGCGCCCTGTGACAGGAGTTGCGAACAGCAGACGACAATGTTGTGGTGCCTGTGGATTTGCGCCTTCCGGGGCAGAATGAACCTGAGAAATACGCTGCGTTTATGCTGGGTTTGTCGTTGCCCTTTCCACGTTGCCCGGGTGCACAGCATTGTGGAGAAGCTTGGCAATGTTTTCATTGTCATGAGATTGAAAAGTTGGAAGGGAAAGGTTTCCTGCGAGCCTGTTTCTCCAAGACCTGGAAACATTGGAAAGCTTGCATGCAGGTGCGCAAGGTGAATGCGCAGGAACGACTCTTGGCTGGCTTGAGTTTACCTTTTCTGCATGACTTGGTGGGCTTACGCGAGTGGTGCGATGTGTCTTGTCTCGACGAGATGCTTCTGGATGGAGCAGACCCTGATATCTCCGAAGAGATGCCTGCGCAGGAGCCCGCAGGAGAAGATGCAGAGGACCAGGCAATTCTGTTTCCGAGCGCCTCCACACCTTCGCCTCTGTCGAGTACCTATCATTTGATGTGGTGTCTCGGGAAGGTTTTCAAGGGCAAGCATGGTCGCTACGTGGACCTACCTCGGATACACGAAAGGATTTGTTGGTCTTTGGGAATCCCTTGTGGTTTTCACTACACACAGTTGACTCCGCTGGAGCACATGTCTCATGTGCAGCTGCAGTGGTTGGAGAGATTCCGCCTGCACCACGAAGCACGACAGCTCAGCAGCAGCCAGAGGAGAGCCGAGCGCTTTGCTTACATGACCAAGGAAGAGGAGGGCGAAGACGTGGAGGAGTACTGGATACAGCACATGCTTTTTTAGGGGGGGCCAAGTCGCGGTAAAGTGTTTCTGTGTATGTAGCGTAGTTGTTTGACAAGCATCACTGGCAAGTGTCCAGCTGGATACAGCACATGCTTTTTTTGGGGGGGGGGCCAAGTCGTGGTAAAGTGTTTCTGCGTATGTAACAATGTAGCGTAGTTGTTTGATTTTTTGGGGGGGCCAAGTCGTGGTAAAGTGTTTCTGTGTATGTAACAATGTAGCGTAGTTGTTTGACAAGCAGCACTGGCAAGTGTCCATGTGCGCGGAGGACGATGTCGGTCCCGTGGACATAGAAGGATCTGATGTGGAGAACGATCTCGAGCACGAAGATGCGATAGAGCGCATGGATTGCGCCGAACATCCTGTGAGCCGAGAAGCTTTGAAAGAAGTACTCTTTCGTGAGAAAGACTGGAAGCGTTGCCTGGCGGGACGCGACAACCGCACGAAGTTTGCTCTGAGCAGATTGAAGCAAGTGGTTGAGGCCATGGGTGGCTTGCCCAATGTGACTGTCAACGTTGAAGGCGAGCGTCCTCTGGATGGTGCTCTTCGTCGCGCATGGGCCTATGCTGAAGCACAAGACATGTTTGACCGGCAATCCCAGTACCTGGAGAATCTGTCTGGAGGCCTTCTGCGTCAGATAGACAGTATTTTTGTTGAGAGCTTCTGCACTGTGCGACACGAGCTTGAGAGATATAATTTTGTTCTGTGAATTCTGTGAGTCGGAGAAAATATTTTGTCTGGTTATCACGATAGCGCCCGGAGACGGAGGATATAGTTGGACTCAGCATTTTTTTGCAGCTACTCGTCGTTTAGTTTTTTACAGACATTGATCCATACGCCAGGTGTTCCAGATGATGCTGAGGAGGAGTTTGTCCCGAGTGGCCTGGAAGCGATGACTGCGACGGATCCGTTCTTGATGGATCTGAACGCGCAGAATCTGCGACCGAGGGACTATGCCTTGAAGCTGGTGGAGGACCAAAGCTGGTGGAAAATCATGGGGTGGATCGAACGACTGGTGTCCTTAAGTAGATGTTTCTGGGAGAGTTTATTGCATAGAGGTTTCTTGTTCAATGGGACCAGATTCTAATGGGACCGTGTGAAAGTTCTGAGAAAGTCGCAAGTGTTCCGAACACGCGACAGGAGTGCACGCTCAACGCACAGCAGATTCGCGCTGTGGCTCCCATTGTACGCACGATCGATGAAATGTGGGAGAAGCGCACCGAAGCAAGCACCTGCTTCGCCAATGGCCAGCCCAGTGAGCGGTGCAATTGTCTATGGCTTGGCGCGGGGGGCTCGGGCAAAACGTGGGCATACACCAAAGTCTTGCGACCTTTGTTCCAGCGCTTCTTTGGCTTTGGTCGCTACACTGCCGGGGCACCGACCCACGCGGCCGCGCGGTTGTTGGGGGCAGAAGCTAGAACTCTGCACAAACTGGCGAACATTTCCCCCAACTCCGCACTACACCGCGGCGCCATCCGAGGGCAGCGGAACAAAAATGATGCCTTGGAGCAACAGATCCTGGCGTCATTGGCCTGCATCGTCGATGAGCTGTCGATGAGCGCAGCGGATGTATATCATGCTCTTGGCCTGCGCTTCTCGGTGAAGCGCTGTGAGAACTGGGCGCTGGACCTGAGCCGCTATCTGCAGGAGTGGTTCGGCAAGATGCCGATAGGGCTACAATTGGGCGACTTCCTACAGTTGCGCCCTGCCGCCCAAGCGAGCCTCTGCGAATGGGTGGAAGTTCCGTCAGCGGTAGAACCAGCGCCACTGACGGAACTTCAAGAAGCCGAAGCCCCAGAGCAGGCCAGCAACGCAGCCGAGCTGGGGCGGCTCTTGTTCAAGAACTCCATGGGCATTGTGGTGCACTTCACTGGAACTGGGCGTTTCTCTTCTTGTGCTTCTGGCCAAGCTTTGGTGGCCATTTTGCAGCACATGCGGCAAGGCACCGCCATGACGGACGCACTCTGGGCGCAACTCCAGAGTCGTGTCTACGAGGTCCAGCAACTGCAAGACCTCCAGACCGCGCCTTCGCGCCGGGTGTTCTTGCGGGCCTACTGGGGTGCACTTGCCTGGGAGCAGGTTGCTCGGTTGCAACAGTTGCGAGCAGTGCTTGAGGCGGAAGACGCTGGAGAACGGCTGTACTTCGTGCAAGCCATCGACAAGCCCACCGGCGACGCCGCGCTGTCTTCCGCCCAGGTCAGCGCAGCTCTGCAGCATTTGAACATGACCAAGACTGGGTATTTGATTGGCATGTGTCCGTTGTTTCTTGGGATGGAAGTGCGCATTTCGTGCATCTTGCCGGAGCCCTTGCTGACGCGTGAGCTCCCGTGCATAGTGCGACGCATAGAACTACATCCCAAAGAACCTCCGACGCCACCTGGAGCAGCTTGCGTGGTCCTGCAGTACCAGCCGCTTGGAGTTTTGGTGGAGGTCGCAGACAGTGATTATGGTCAGTTTCAGGTCCCTGGCGACGACGTACCCAAGGGTCATTTCTACGTGAGGCCTGTGTTCAACAAGCAATCGGCCTGGGTCTTTGAGGTTGCGCCCAAGCAGAAACTTCGACTTGTTCGGAAACAGGCTTGGGACGCACTAACTTGTTTTGTGTTCTCTGGTACACATCGTATCGTCGCCGTGTCGGTCTGTCTTTCTCGTTTAGTTTCCTTTATGCGCAGGTACCCTTGGCCCCACAGCGAGCGCTGACTCATTTTGGACTGCAAGGCATCACTGCCAGATCTGGCCTGGTCGCTTTTCTGAATCAACCTCCCTGGATGAAGGATGGAGATTACGGTTTGGCCCTCTATGTCATGTTGTCACGAGCAACGAAGTTGAGCGATTTATGGCTCATTGGAGTGCTTGAGCGCCCATATTTCGAAGGCTTCTTGCATGAGCACAACAAGACTTTGGTGGATCGTATGAGCCTGTTTGAACGTCTGTCTGTGCAGAATGAGCAAGCTGCGGAAAAGTACATCCAGAAGCTGCTTTGGAGGGGAAATGCTTACGTGAACCGCACGCTTGGTGTTTCTGGAACAGGACAAGCCAAGAGGCGGAGGCTGACAGGCAAGACTGCTGTGGCCTGAGTCTACGTGGTCTGTTGCAAGTGGATACGAAGATCCGACGCAATCACCTCGGAGAAAGTGGACGTAGCTTTGCTTAGCAGACGTTTCAGCAAGGTCGGGGTTCCCAACGAGAACAGATAAGCTGTAGATCTTTTTTTGATAGTGTTTTGATAGTGGTGCTGGGACGTGCTCTGGTTTTGGGTCGCGGATCGCGTGGCCTGCGGCTGCAGGTCCGACACCATTGCTTTTGGCTCCGGGCACGAACGTGCGTCAACGGAACACTGAGACAACGCCTCAGTATTGTGGTTCTGTAGAATAGTTCGTTTTCGATCTTGCTCGAGGTCCGATGCAGCAGTGACCTCTCAGGGGATGGACGTTATTCTGCGGAATTACTGCGGGGGGTAGATGCAACGCCGCAGGGAGGTCGGGGACCCCAAAGAGAACAGACAAGCTTAAGGTTTTAGACATCGTGAAAGCATCTTGTCGCCATAGTCATCTTAGTACTCTGGTTCTATGTGATAGTTGCCTAGTATCTCTCAGCGCAGAAAATGAAAACTGTAGTTCTTTGTCGTGGTTTGCTTTGCATTTTGCGCCAGGTCCGACGCCAGTGCCTCTGACTGAGGCAATGAGCGTGGTTGTGTGGAAGATAGTCACAACGCCTCAGGGAGGGCGGGGATTCCCAAGGAGCATACAAAAGCTTGAGATCTTTGATCTTCTGAAATGTTCTGTTGACAATAGTGATGGGCAGTACTCTGGTTCTGTCGTATAGGTTGTTGTTTAGATCTTAGATCTTGTGAAAGTTTCTGTTGACAATAGTGATGGGAAGTCCTGAGTAACTGTTGTATACTTTGTTTTCCATGTTGGTCGAGGTCCGATGCAGTTGCCTTTCAGGGAGTGGACGTTATTCTGCGGAATTTCTTTGGGGGG